CTATGTGGAAATGGGAGCAGATCACGATGGATTTCATCACCAAGCTGCCGAGGACGACAAGGGGGTTTCGACACTATATGGGTCATCGTAGACCGATTAACCAAGAGTGCTCACTTTCTCGCCATTTGGGATGGATCATCAGCTGAGAAGTTAGCTGAGATATACATCCGCTAGATTGTCGCGCGACATGGAGTTCCGATCTCTATTGTCGCAGATTGTGATGTTCGCTTCACCTCTTGATTTTGGCAGAAGTTCCACGAGGAACTGGGCACACGACTGCATCTTAGTACATCTTATCATCCGCAGATAGATGGCTAGAGTGAGCGGACCATACAGACACTTGAGGACATGCTGAGGGCATTTGTTATCGATTTTGGTGGGAGCTGGGACTCCTACCTACCTCTCGCGGAATTCTCATACAATAACAACTTTCATTCCAGTATAGGTGCCCCACCATATATGCTCTTGTATGGAAGGAGATGTCACACCCCCGGTCTGTTGGGGTGAAGTGGCTCATAAGGATATGGGTCGAAACGAGGTAGTTCTGCAAACTACCGAGAGGATTCAACAGATCATATAGAGACTTCAGACTGCTCAGAGTCAGCAAAAGAGTTACGCTGACCGACGTTGATCGGAGCTGGAGTTCCTCGTCGGAGACATGGTGCTCCTGAAGGTCTCACCCCGGAAGGGTGTGATCCGTTTCAGGAAGAGGGGAAAACTGGGTCCCCGATTTATTGGACCCTTTCGGGTGATAGCCAGAGTTGGCAAGGTAGCCTATAGGCTGGACCTTCCGGAAGAGCTCAGTCAGATACACAACAATTTTTTCAGAGTTCCTAGTTGCGGAAGTGCATTTTGGATGAGGATGCGGTGGTATCTCTGGATGATGTTCAGGTTGACGAGCACCTGAACTACGTGGAGTAGCCAATGGCTATTTTGGACACGAAAATGAAAATTTTGCGTTGCAAGGAAGTACCACTGGTCAAGGTGCAGTAGCGACACTGTAAGGGATCGAGTGGACTTGGGAGTCAGAGTCAGAGATGAGGGAGCACTACCCAGATCTTTTTGTAGTATTCGACTTCGGGGACGAAGTCTAGATCAAGTGGGGGAGAGTTGTAACGCCCCGAACCGAGCAGGTATACGTCGAAACTCGCCTTCTTTTGATTATTGTCTTTTATAGCCCTCGGAGAAGTTATGTTGAGTCCCGGGGAGTTAGGGGGCTAGAGTTGAAACTTTGGGCCAAAAGGGGGTACGCTAAGCGTACATAAGAATACACTGGGCGTACTCGCATCAGGTAAAAACCCTAATATTCGGAGTTGGGACTATATAAACACCCTTATGGCTCATTCTTTACCCTCACCTCAGCCTCCATACCCCAGAGAACGCCCCCAAACCCTAGTTGTGTGTGAAGAGTGAGTTAGTGTGCATCTTGAGCTTTGGAGAGTGGAGTTATTGCACCAAGAAGCTAGAGGAGGAAAGCAAGGCCTTGGATCTGAAGTTGGGTTGCACCATTAGAGCTCCAGAAGGTAAAAAGATTGAACCTTTATGCTTATTTACCTTAGATCTAGACGTTTTAGCTTTATGAAGGTCTTTTGGTCTCTAGATTTCCCAAGTTGATACATGTGAAGTTATAGACGAAATAAGTTGTCCTTCCAGATGTTTTAAGAGGCCTTAAGTGATAAAAATCAGTTGTTTTTAGCTAAACTTGATCCATGCATGTGATAAGAAGGTTGTAATGGATTAAGACTATGATTTAAGGACTTTTTGGACGTCCAAAGTGATAAAGTCCAAAACTTTATGATTCTATGGCATTTTTGATCGATGGATCTGGAATATGGGTACAAGAGCTCAACCCATTAAGAAATTACTAAGACTTTGGTAAATCCGCGCGTACGCCCCGTGTAATATCTGTACGCCCAACGTACATGGTCCGCAGTCCCGATGATGGTCAACGAGGAACTACGCTACGCCTAGCGTAACTGGGAGGTACCCCCCGCGTACGCTCCATGTTGGACTTTTGGCTTGTGGGTTTTATGCTTTGGGCCGGTTATAGGTCACTTGGGTTAATCCCTTAATAGGCTATGGATACAATGCTATCTGGGCTAGGTTAGACTTGTAGGTTCGTGTAGGCCCAATAGAGGGATGAGCCCAATTTAATAAATTGGACCAATAATAGATTTGGACAATTTAGGTCTAGTTGAGTAATTCATATTCTTTTATCTCTCAGTCGCGGGTGTCGGGCATAGCAGTTGAAGACTCTCAGTTCTGTTCTGCACTATTGCTAGGTGAGTTCTCCTCACTATACCAATAGGGTCTACAACACTAGGTCGGTCCCTTGGGATTTATTCACGGAGTTAGTATGTGTTCCATATTCATGATCAGTTGGATTGGTATCTTGATGGATACTATGTTACTATGTTTAGCAGTTAGTATGATCTGTGTTTATTGTATGATTATGTGCTATTTATATGTTGACATATAGGGATATGTTGGGTTGAGGCGGTGTCCTGCTTTTTACGGTTGAGGCCAACATACCCACAATGGTCCGGATAGGTTGTAGGCTCGTAGGAGGCGGTCCAGTCATGCCGAAGGCTCGAGAGCGGTCCATATAGGCTGTAGGCTCGTAAGAGGCGGTCCAGTCATGTTGAAGGCTTAATATGTATGCTGTTAAATTATTATTCTTTTTGTATTCGATGCTAGAGGTTGGTATTTTGGGGGTAACTCACTAAGCCTTCGAGCTTACATTTTATCGTTTATTGTTTCAGGTACATCAGTTGACCATGGTAAGGCGAAGGCGTGACGTACACATCCTCATTCTTTTATGATTCTGGATTTCTGGGAACTCTGATATGAAAACATTTGAAAACAATCAGAACTTGTTGATGTTTGAATAACTTTTAATTGTGTAAAAATGGTTTTTGGAAAGTTTGAATTTCTTTGAATTTTTTTTTTGGGTTGTTACAAGTTTTACGGAAAAAATGCATGTTAAATGTTATATAAAAATTAATATTATGTTTATATGATTGTATGTTCGTATCAACATAGATAGTTATATTAATCGGTATATAGTTATTTTATATCCTATATACCTAGAATATATCTAATATATTGAAAACATACAACTATCTTAAACTTATTAACATGTTATTATACTAATGTAGACCCTGAGTTATCCTCAAGAGTTCTATGCATATTATGTGTGATATAGCCCCAGAGTTATTCTCGGGAGTTATGTATACTAATTGTGAAGTATATTATTATTATTGGTTTTATGTCAAGATAAAACCTGATATGTTATTAATATAGCCATGAAGTTATATTCAGGAGTTCTATATATACTTGTTAAGTATGTTGCTATTATTGGTTTTATGTTAGATTAAAAGCTGATTTTACTTCGAGTTATAGCTATTATACTGCCTAAGTATTATGAAATTAGGAGTATTGTTTGAAAGCATAATCTAGTAACTTAAGGTTCTAGACATTGATATGCTTTTGTTATTTGAGCTTTAGGAGGACGACAAAGTCTACATGGGCTATTATATTCATCCACTAAAACTCAGAATCTTAGGGGAAATCCTCTGACCTATAACCGTTAATCCCGTGTGAGCGAGGAATTCGTGTATAAAACTATACGGTTTGACAACCCCGCTTGTTGTTGTTAGCTACAACCCAATATTTTGTGAGAGACGAACTGTCATTTTATTTGTTTATTGAGGTGAAATCTATCGTCTTTTAATCTGTATGAAATATGTGTAGCATTCATTTGGTTGAATATGTTCCTTTATTTTGTTAGATTTCTATTCTCCTTCACATTTTGCAATCTTTTCATTATAGGGAAAGAAAATTAAAAAATCCAAAAGTTGTAATTTTTGTAGTATATCAAGTAAAATTATAAAAGCTATTATTAAACTAATGGTCCAATTATTTTAACAAAAGCGATTTACGAGTATGTTAATACTTTAAAATAGATTGTGTGAATTTCAAACTATTTGGGCTGTTTTATTTATAGCTATTTTTTAAAAAATGTTACCTTTTTGACCCATGCCAATAAACATAAGTCAAATTGATCTGTATTTATATAAACATCTTCAATTGCCATATACCGACTCTACTTGAAATACAACCCAAACTTTATGTGAAGATCAAATAATCACTTAATGTGTTGGTTTTTACAATCCTATAGGGAAATTTAGGACAACTTTCTTTCAAACTATGTCATACATTTTGTGTAGGGCAAAATATAGAAAAACACTTATATTTTCACTATTTTATTGATTTTGCCACTTTAAGTATCAACCCTAATGAGTAAACCAATTTTTTTTATTATTATTTAATAAAACTTCCTTTCCTGGTTACCCCAGTGAAAAAACACAAAATACTATGTTTTTTATGATTATTACAGTAATAAATAGTTCAATGGCCAAATTAATAAAATCATGAAAGTACCATGTTTTCAATGTATTTTACCCTTTTCTTTGGGCTAAATGAAAACATTCACAACCTCTTTTTTTTTTTTTAATTTTTTTAATTTTTTTAATTTTTTTATGTGTTTAGCATTATATGAAAAATCTTTCCAATTATAGAAATGTCCTCCAAATACAAAATAATTTACAGTTGCATAATTGGCTACATTCTTCATGGAGAGTAGTCCTCTTTAAAATCAGCACAACATTCATTATCACTTATAAAGGTTTGTTCGTGTACATTTCTGTTTTTTATGAATTTTGAATCTTATAACTTCGTTTTTGGGTCAAAATACAAAGCAGTTGTTGACTTGAGCAATTGCGTGTGTTTTGGATATTCCCTTGATACAATTTCCTTTGATGCAGGATTCGAACCACAAAAATATAATAAAATATCTTGGATTCTTTATGACAGAAACCCATCTTTACATAATTCTTGAGTAAATATGGTAGATTTAATAATATATAATACGTTTATCAATGGTATTAATTTAGAAACCAGTTTCTAATTAGTGGAGAGTTTGTTAACCTATTAGGTATATGGAAAATGACGCAATTGCAAACATCATCAACCCAAATAATTTCGCGCCATTACCTAAACCATTGGTGGCCTTTTATGTAGCACAGGTAGATTTGTTACTAACATTAACTTTCTTGACATGCACCAAATTACGTATACTGAAATTGAGCATTGAAAATGGAAAACAGGTTTTGGAAGGTTTGGTTTATTTAAATGAACAAGGGATTATTCATCGGGATATTAAGGGTGAAATTTTGACTACTAAGGAGGTAAAGTATGAATATAAATTTTATTGTTGGCACACTTTACTGGATGGCTCCCGAGGTTTTATTATTATTATTTTTATTTAATATAATTTTTGAGTTTTATATCCTTCTAATTTTTTTAAGGTGATTGAAATGACATGTGTTTGTGGCTCATCTGATATATGGAGTGGTTGTACTGTTTACTGGTGTACCTCCTTACAATCATGTTCATCTTATGCAAGCTCTTTTTAGAATCATTCAGGTCTCTCAATCTTCTTTCTGTTTCTTTTAGTTTATAATAACATTTTATTTGTCATAAAGAAATATGAAATCCCTAAAATATAATTCAGCATGAAATTCCTCCAATAGCAGATAGCTTGTCACCTGGTGTAATGGATTTATTGTGTCGGTGCTTTAACAAGGTATGTAAAGTGTAAAACAACTTTCCATTTTTACATTCTTTAAATTTTTTTTAAAATTGAACTATGTAAGGTAAGAAGTTATATATGGTCTCCTTTAACGCAATAATTTTCATATTTTAGGATGCTAGGCTCGAGCTGCAAAGTTTGTTAGATTCAAAGAGAAACCGACCTACTGAATCAGAAAAGAAGTGCAGCTAAAACTTTGAAACAAGTGAGATTAAAGAGTATTTCTAAGAATTAGATTGAGAAAAGAATGTAGAGAAGATATTCATGTTAATGTGTGTTGTATTGATGAATTATGAATTACACATATATACAGAGTATAAAGGCTACATGTCTAACTGTTAACTCTAACTAACATCTAACAGCTATAGTTAAACTAACTGTACATTGATTAAGCTAACTATGGTGTAACAAACTAAACTGAATTGATACGTGCTGACTGATTTGAGTTTTAATATGCCCCCCTCAGGTTAAACCTTGGTGAATATCTCTAAGGTTTAACTTGAATAACAAATTCTGAAATTGTGGTTGACATAATGCTTTTGTTAAAATATCAGCAGCCTACTCCTTTGTTGAAATGTGTTTTGGTCTAACAAATCCTATCTTATATTGATCACGAACCAGATGACAATCAATATCAAGATGCTTCGTCCTTTCATGAAAGATGGGATTTTCTGTAATATGAATCGCTGCCTTATTATCACACCATAATGTCACAGGAATATGCATCTTGATCTTCAAATCTCTAAGGATGTAACTGATCCACAAGAGCTCACAAACTGTTGCTGCTAGGCTCCTATATTCTGCTTCGCATGATGATCTAGACACTGTTTTCTGTTTCTTAGTCTTCCATGAAATTAAAGAAGAACCAAGAAATATACAGTATCCTGTTAGTGATCTTCTAGTATCTTTGCATGAAGCCCAGTCAGAGTCACTATAGGCTGAAATTGTTATGTCTGAAGACTTTTTATCGAAAAACAACCCTTTTGAAGGAGTTCCTTTCAAGTACTCTAGCACTTGTAATGTAGCTTTCCAATGTGTATCTGTTGGTGAGTGCAAGAACTGACTTAATTGTTGAACAACATGGCTTATATCTGGTCTTGTAAAGTTCAAATATAGCAATTTTCCAACTAATTTTTTGTACTTCTCTGGTTCCTTCATAAGCACTCCTCCTTCTATACTTAAATGCATGTTCTTGATTGATGGTGTTGAGGCTGGTTTAGCTCCAATTAATCCAACTTCAGATAATATATCAAGAACATATTTTCTTTGATTAACATATAATCCTTCCTCTGTTTTTAATAGCTCAATACCTAAGACGTAACTAGCATTTCCAAGGTCTTTTATTGTGAAAGCTTTGTGTAAGTAATCTTTAACTTCATCAATCTTGTCTTGATTAGGTCCAGTTATTAAAACATCATCTACATATACCACTAAAGCAATGAATGATTGATTCTCACCTTTTGTGAATAAGCAATGATCATGTGAAGACTGTTGGAATCCAAAATCCAAGAGTTTGTTACAAAACTATATATGCCATTGCCTAGTTGCCTGTATTAGACCATAAAGCGACTTATTCAGCTTGCAAACCTCTCCTTTCTTTGCTTTCTCATATCCTTGTGGTGGCTGCATATACACTTTTTCATCCAGAAAACCATGCAACAATGCATTGTTGATATCTAATTGGTGTAAATTCCATCCTTTTGAAGTAGATAAAGCTAATAAGATCCTAACAGTGACCACTTTTGCAACCGGAGAGAAACTGTCAAGGTAATCAATTCCATAAGTTTGATTATAACCTTTTGCTACGAGTCGTGCCTTGTATCTCTCTACTGTCCCATCAGGTTGTAATTTGACCTTATAAACCCACTTTGATACAATTGGTTTCTTGCCCGGTGGTAGGGTTATAATGGTCCAAGTTTGATTTTCTTCCAAAGCTGTAATTTCTTTATTCATAGCATCAACCCATTCTGGGTATTGACATGCTTCAGCATAATTTGATGGTTCTTTGATTTTTGAAACAGATGTTAGGAAGTTTTTATGGGTTTGAGTTAAAAGGGCAGAATGGTAATATGGAAAAGTAGGAGGGTAGTGAGGAGATGTAAATTTCTTTGAATTTGGAGGTTGAGTAGGTTCTGAACTGTTAGTATCACAATGCATAACATAATCTTTATGCCATGATGGTTGTTTTCTTAGTCTTGTTCCTGCTCTAAGATTTTGAACTTCAGGGGTATTATTGTAATTTTCAAAAAATTCTTCAATTCCTTCACTGCTTGTTTCTTCTTCTAATGGTGCTTCAAAATTTTCATTTTCATTGATGAGATCAATATCATCTGAGTTGTAATCATGAGAAGGAATAAAATCTTGAGTTTGAACTTCAAAGTCTTGTCCCTGTTCTTGTACTATATTTGGTAATACAATGTTTTCGCCCAACACGATTTCCTTTGCATTTTTGTATGGAAAAAGATATTCATAGAAGATGACATCTCTAGACATAATAATCTTCTTTTCTTTCAAATCATATAACTTGTAAGCTTTTTGACCATGATTGTAACCAATGAAACAACACATGACAGCTCTAGGTTCAAATTTTGTTTTATGAGGAATAGTATTGGTTGCAAAACATAAACAACCAAATACTTTGAGATTATTGTATGATGGGGTTTTATTGTGAAGTTTCTGAAAAGGTGTTTCCCAACTAAGCACTTGAGAAGGAAGGATATTTATGATGTAAGTTGCCATAAGAATAGCATGACTCAAGAATGGGCAATTTTGAATGAAATAATAATGACCTGGAAACTTGTAAAAGATGTTGGTGTTTTCTCTCAACTCTTCCATTCTGTTGAGGAGAATAAGAAACAGTCCTTTGATGAACTATTCCTAAAGATGAGAAAAGGTGTTGACAATTATAATTGACAAACTCAGTTCCATTATCTGTTCTTATAACTTTGACAGTTGTTTGGTACTGATTAGAAACATGGCTAAAAAAATCAGATAAAGTTGAATGCACAAAAGTTTTGTCTCTTAGTAGAAAAGTCCATGTTGACCTTGAAAAATCATCAACAATGGTTAAAAAATAAGAAGCCCCTGTAATGGTTTTGGATTTTTATGGTCCCCAAAGATCCACATGAATGAGTTGAAAAACAGAAATAGCAGATGAGTCACTACTTGGAAAAGGAAATCTTTGTTGCTTTGCTTGATGGCATGGAACATAAGGAGACATTTCATTGATAGTTTTCATTGGTATAAAACTCAAATGACTCAATACAAACTCAGAACTATGACCCAATCTTTTATGCCATACAGAATAACTATCTTTATTTTTAGCTTTAACAACATTACACACATTGGAAGCAAAGAAAGACTCTATACTGCTAGAATCTAAAATGGAATTATCTAAAACATATAGATTTCCCATGATTTTGCCACGAGCAACAATTTTAGCAGTTTGAAGGTCCTGCAAAACACAATAGGTAGGAAGAAAAATAAAAGCAACATGAGCAGAAGCTGCTAAAGCTTTTACAGATAAAAGATTGCATGTGAATTCAGGCACATGTAGAGCATTTGTGAGTATCAATCAAGAATTAAGAGTGATTGAACCAGTATGAGTTACAGATTTTATAGAACCATCAGGTAAAAATATGGGAGTGTAAGTAGATACAGGGGTAGAATTGTCAATAGAGGATAATTGTGCACACATGTGAGCTGTGGCACCTATATCCAATATCCATGTTCTATTATTAAACCGATTACTCTTAAGAGAGGTCAAAAGAGATATGTTTATACCTGCAAAATCTCCAAAGTGAGACATATTTGCAAAGTTAACATCAGACTTCTGATTCGATTTGATGAATTGGCTGAACTGTTGAAGAAGTTGATTCATAGACTCTTCATTATTCAAGTTTGAATTCACACTTTGATTGATCTGCGTTTTAATAAGTATTGGTTGGAAAAATTGAAAATATTGCAAATTGAGTTTTGGAATCTAGGAATAGGTATGTGATACTTATATTAATAGTCTTTTCACATGCTTATTAAGGAAAAAAACAATTTGCTATATTTTCTTACTTGATTGGGGTGAAAATCACTTAATGTTGAAAAAATGTATATTCATGTGGTATAACTACTGTTCTTTTATGCTAGTATATAATTTAAAAATCTGTATACTTTGTGTTGTACTGATGCAGCTGAATCATATCTCAAAATAGTGGAACCCGTGTTTAACCTTGGTTAATGCTTCCATATTCCTTGAAATGATTGCAAATTTACTCGATTTTGCAACTTTAAGTGTGTGTCTAATTAACTTATTCTCTTTTTTTTTTTTTTTTTTTGTGTCAATTGTTGCATATGGATTCAAAAGTGGACTGCTTGTTGGTTCAAAGGTTCTAAAAGTTGGTCACTTGAACTATATTTAACCGTTACAAGTTAATAATAATAGGAATCGCTACTTTTTATTCCAAATGTCCAATTCATGTCACATATTGTTATTTATGGCAGTGCAGATGAATTACAAATCTTGGAAAGGTATTTTGGTAATTCCTCTTTTTGTATGCGAAAATCAAATAATTATAATCTACTACAACATTGTACTTTCGGTAATTTACAAATAATATCGATGTTATCCAAAGACAACAATTTTCATTTTTATAACGGGGTACATTTTCAAATAACAACATCTTATAAAAAGTAAAAGTAAAAGTGTAACCCTATAAGTTGGTAAAATTTTGAAAGTACACAACCTTCAAAACAAAATTTGAAAGAACAATGCTATAACAGAAAAAAGAACATAAGCATGATAGTATAACAGAAAAACAAACTAAAGTACATTGTTATATCTTACATTTATTAAGTTGAATAATGTTAATGAATTATCGTATGGTAGTGATTTATTGTGCTTTGTTTTGAAGGTAATTTCTCAATGTGTTCTTCAACATCCTGAACAAGAAAAATGTACAACTACTTCCCGTATCTTCGGTAATTTCTTCACTTGATGCAGTTATTTATTTATTTTTTAGTTCATAAGCTATGCTCTCTTCACACGAAGAACAGCCAACAAACAACGTTGGATTCGATGAAGGACAGAGGGGGTATCATCGATGGCATCGGTCATCGCCATGTAAGGTTTTTTTATTTCTTCCACGATTAGGGTTTTGATTATCTGTTTGTATATCTATTTGGCTTCGACTTTGAGAATACAAAGGTCCGTTGCATTGGTGGTGTCTGATTTGGGGTGTTGCGTCTTTTGATGTTGGTTTTGCTTTTTTGTTACTTGTATTTCTATAGGGAAGAGCCGACACAAAGATTAGGGTAGAGACGG